AAATCCTCTTTTGTGCAGGCAACCAGAGCAGCTGCATTATCACATTCCATGACTTTGCAAACCGTCCCCTGTGCCAAACGTTTCACTAGTCTACTCACACGAAGACCCAAGGCAAAGGTTTGTGCCCTGCCTTCGAGCTCGGCTTCCTGCGCTGGAAAAGCCGTGAGACTTTGACGAGCAGACTTCCATCCCAGCCCAGGATGTGGCTACCCCATACAATCACCGAACCGCTCCGAGACTTGGAGGCACCCGAAGATAAAGAGGCATCTGATGAGAAGGCTAGGCTCGCCGTCTTCGCGGAATCAAACTCCCACCTGAAGCACAGCCCTCGATCCCAAGTTTTCCGTACGAAGCGCCAGACTCCCTTCGTCAGGCGCAAGGTCTCAGCGGGATCTACCGTCAATGCACAGGCAGCTACACCACATACTGCGGCCAACTCTGGCCTCGTTCTTACCGTCAGCCATAGCAGATTCCCAAGCTCCATCTGACCCTGCTTGATGAGTTTCTCTCGCTTCACACCAAGAGGCATGCTGGGGAGCTTTCCTTCACGCGACTCTGGCAAGGAGTCGCAACCTGAAAGATTAAGAAAACCCCTCTTGTTGAGTTCCTGGGCTACCCATCGCTGTTGTGTCATGTGGATTCCTTCGTCTGACATCCGCAGCTGTAGACCCAAGAATGTGAGCTCATCAACTACTCTAACACCATCAACCTCCATGCCAGCTTTCAGGTCTCCTCTAGCCAGTATACCTTGGACTTTTGATTAACAAGTGGCGTGATGAATGAAACGGTTCGCGTGAAGAGTTCCTTTGGCGCAAGAATCAAACGATCATCCACATACAAAGCTAACACTCCGCAAAGATTGTCTTGGCTGTCATACAACCCGAAAACTCCTGGCTCACCCAATTCTTTGACAGTGACATCTCCAAACGTGTCATCGGCGCGAGCCTTCAACACCGCACCCTGTAGAGAACAGCATCCCGCTCATGTTGCCATTCTTTGGGTGACCTCCGGAGTCCATCAAGAGCACGATGAAGCCAAAGAAGTTCGTCTTCATGGAAATGACCCGTTTTGACTGCTGCAGCTGGTGGCTTTACCAGCACTTTGCGTCGCTCCTGCAGCCAGGCGTTGAGAAAAGCACAAGAGATGTCCAGACAGCCCGCCAACCAAGTGGGCTCTCGTGCAGCTCTGCTAAGCAGAGCTCGAAGTGATTCGATAGCCAAGTTGGTGGATGAGTTATCGGGGGCATTCCCAGACGTTTCCGCCGCGCACACCACCAATCGACCTTTCGCTAGCCAATCATCCTTAGTCCCTTGTCCGATCCGCAGTTGCCTTTGCGCCGTTTTTGTTCGATGATTCTCCCATGTTGTTTGGCTTGCGCGTCATGACGAGCTTGGATGGCAAAGCCTGTGGTAGATCTTCATGTTCTTGGAGGCCGGGAGTGTGGCGTAGATCTTTACGTTTGACCCTTGTGTAGACCTGCTTTTCGTCCATGTTGTGCAGCTGATTTTCTAAGCCGCCGATCCACGACCTCGTCCTCTTGTAACACTACAGATGTACTTACGGTTTCCGCCGTGGCTTGTTCGTGACTTGCTTCTAGAAGCTCGGCTTCACATTCCAAGATTTGCTCTTCCTGCTTAGCCGTCAGCACATAGTACTTGTCACTCTTTGACCCATCAGATACTTCAGACGCTACTTGAGCGACGTTCGCCCGGACCGAATCAATCACCACCACCTCTTCGGGATCTCTGTCATGCCACGCAGAAAGCCCCTCGCTTGACTCCTCGGCCGGCCTAGCGTCAGGATGACGGCTTCCATCATCATCCCCTGCATCCATCATGTTTGGAAGCAAACCGTGAGCAAACCGTACAAACTCCCCAACCTGGTCCTCTTCCGACAGCTCGTGTTGCGTTCCTACATACGGGCTTTTCATCAACAGAGCCCTCTGAAGATTCCTTTCCGCATCCGGCGGTCCCTCCAACCGCTCTTCCAAAGTAAGAATATTGGTGTCTCCATCGCGATCATCAGGTGGCAGGTCAGAGAACACCACTTCCCCGACGGTTGAGGTCCAAACCGATTCACCTCCAGGTGTGATTGTACGTTTCCATCGTGCTCTCGGCTTATCGTCCAAAAGGCGTAGTCGTGCTCTAGTGATGACTGGTTTGTCCGCGTCTTGGTGCATGACCCAAGCGCCAAGCTCCACCTGGCGTTGGGTCATCCTGGGACAGATAAATGGCCGGAATAGTCCGATCACCGAATGCTTCATGCTTCTCCTTCTTGATGAGCACGTGGTCTCCTGGACGTGGGGTTCCACTTGGAATAGGGATGATGTGCACTAGCTCCTATATCCCACCACCATCCCCAGAACTCCTCCAGGACGATAGCAGTAGTAAGTAGTTAGCTTGCGAGCTAGCCGAGCGACAACCAAACAGGACAAACACACTCAGCTAGCACGGACGCACTTTTGTCGGAAGTGGCAACTATCCCGGTGGCCTGGAGATATTCGATAGCCTTCGGCTATCTATCCCCAGGGTGGGGAGGATGGGTACTTCAAAATTAGCCCCCCTGAAGAGGGGACTTTATCCAGAATGGCAACGGTCGCATACATTCGTAGCCGTTCCAAGTCACAGCTATCCTGTCTTCGCATGTCAGAGGCAACTCTCCTGCGAGAAACTTCGTTTCTAGCGAAGCTACCTTCAATAGCTTCGAGTAGAAATAGGTAAGCTAGCACACATAGTCGTAACTCGTTCCTCGTCACGAGGTACGTACACTAGCTCCTATATCCCACCACCATCCCCAGAACTCCTCCAGGACGATAGCAGTAGTAAGTAGTTAGCTTGCGAGCTAGCCGAGCGACAACCAAACCCCTCGCTTCCGCGTGCCTAGGTCCTTGTAGAAGCTATCTGCATGCGCGAGTAGCCGGCCTAAGACACGCCACTGGGAGTCCTCCCCCTTCAGACCTATCCTCTGGTCGGGGTCGAACTCCTTGAATTCCTCTGGTGAGGTCGTCCGCTAGCTGGTTGATGTCTCTACGTATCCACTGGAGCTGTAGCTCACAGTTCTTCTGGGCTAGCTCTTCGGCTACCTCCATCAAAACTAGCATAGAGGGATACTTGGTTGTCATAGCCTTCTTAACAAGTGCCTCGTTGGACTTGTTATCTGTGTATCCACGGATGGCTGCTCGCGAGGTCTTCCTATCCTCGCCCTCCAGGACCCAGAGACGTATCCCAACGAGGGTCGCCAGCAGTTCTAGCGCAGCTATCACCTTCTTGGAGGCGCTGTCGGGGCCGCAGCGGGAAGTCAGTTAGCCGCAGTAGACGCCGTAGCCGGTCCCAGGCATTTGATAGCCGAGTGATCGCCACGACACTTCGTACAGACATGGACGAAATGACACTTAGCCCCTTTCTTACATCCGCCTTTCAGGTTGAACCGAAAACAAATCGGTTTATTATCCTCAGTGCGGTTGAAGGTGCCGGCCTGAGCCTTCTTGTTGCTATCCTTGCCGTCCTTGCCCTTGCCCTTCCCTTTCTTGCCAGGCCTATCCGGCTGGGTGTTATCCCACGACCACGGCTGTGGTCTCTTGGCGCAGAGCGATAGCAGGGTCGTGAAGTGCCTTTCTTTGATAGCTGCGTCTTTCCAGGATTGGACTAGCGCGTCGGCGAAGCCTATCCCCTTGAGCACCATCTGCTTGTAGGCCTGCTTCCTGATAGCTAGCACCAGCGTCCACGGAGGCGCCAAGGAGACGCTCGCCTCGTTGGACCGAAGCCCATAGCAGAAATCTCCTAGCAGATAGTCTTTGTATTTCTCAAAGAGCTGGAAGTCGATATCCTTGAGCTCCGATCGCCCCGGGTGCTGCAGACCTACCAGGAGGAGGGCATTTTGCATGACCGTTAGCCTGAGCCGCAGCTGCTCCGGTCCCGACGGCATAGCCCCCTTCGAGGTAGCCTTCTTAAGTACGAGCGCGGCGCCTTTGCCATCCCACTGGGGAACTAGCACATCCGGATCTATCTCGTCTCTGGACAGCATCTCGTTCAGGGGCTCCGCCCTGAACTCGCCCGTCTCTAGCTCGTGGAGCTTTCGCTCAATGTATTCCTTTGCCGGAATATGCATATCCTCGGGCTCGCCGAATTTCTGCGCAAAGGACTCGGACTGGCGCATAGCCCATGTACTCTGTTTGGGGGATGAGCATAGCCCATTCCCGGACTTCGCTAGCCTTCTCTATCCGCTTGCTCGCGGGTCCGAGGCTGGGCCGCTCTCCAGGCTACCACAAAGGCCGCCGCTAGCGCCCGATCGGCCTCGTCCTTGAAACTAGCCGAAACCTTGGCTATCGTATCTATCCCAGCCTGGAACAAGGTCGCCTGGGAGCTATCCGGAACGCGGGTGGGTCAAAAGGCCCTTAGCCAAGTCAGCCGGATCGTAGGCTGATGCCATGTCGCGGCCTAGCCCGGAGGGCTAGCCACACTTTAAAGGCTACAGGTGGTACTTGAAACGCAATGCTCTAGCCGACTGTGGGTCACACGACCTAGCCAGAGAGAGGACCCACCCCACAAGACCCGGAGCAGCCCGCCCCCCCCCCCCTCTCGACCACCCCTCGCCGGAGTGGACAGCACTAGCACTAGCACAACTGTTGCAAGACGGCGCCAGCCCGCATTCGACGCATCGGAAGATAGCCCCGCGGCCCACACAGGTGTGAGGCAGCGTATCCAGCCGCTATCCGGAACTTTATCCGCGAGGGCTTCGCCCCTAGCCGACTTGCTACTAACCGCGATGAAATCATCATCGCCAACGGAGTATATAGCCAAAAGACCATCAACTATCCCTCCCTTGCGGACCTGCCGGCTTCTATCCCCATGTGGGCATAGGCTCTATCCTGGCCTGGCGGCCTCCTCGCTCGTAGCTTCGGAGGGGCCGATCCTCTCGCCGCACATATATCCAGGTTTGATCTATCATGCCCCCTTCGGGGCCCCAGGGTCTGCCCTTAGCCTGGCTAGCCGTGGAACAAATCACAAGAACGAAATGCGATGGACAGCTATGACAGGCAACGGACGGGGCTGCCTTGCAGCGGCTAACATCGATCTGGATAGGCGCGGGTGGACGTAGCCATCCTTGCCGTCTCGCGCTTTGGACTCGCTCTTAGCCTGACCTGCGGAAAGGGCTCGCCAGGAACGCTCTGCAGGACTCGCCTGGCTGCGGTAGTCCGTGCTTGACCTCGGCCTCCCTGCGCTAGCCGCCGCGGCTGCGCTAGCCTACCGCCGGCCAGGGCCTGGATGTAGTAGCCGTCTCCTCGGTAGCCGCGATTTTGCTATCCCGCTTCTTGCTCCTAGCCTTGGTCTCCTCCACTGTGGGAGGCTGTCGGTCAGGCTTAGCCGGTTTGCCAAAAGCCCTCCCGGCATGGGGTCTCTGGCCAGCTGCCTCGCCAGGTTCTTGGCTATCCCTCACTTTCCTGCAGCAATGTCGATGCTTAGCCTCTCATATAGCTGCTCCGCAAGTCCACTTCTAGCCACTCCTCAAGTGACCTGACGACTTCTATCCGTAGGGCTAGCACGCTAGCCTGCTCCGATTGGTCAGCCCAGTTGGCTGACCTGACCTATCCATGACGTCGCTAGGCCGCCGCAAGCGGCAAACACTCGCCCACCTATCGTGGGCTCTCCTAGATCTTAGTGGGCCGTTACCCCCACTCTTCTAGCCAGCAGTGGCCACGGCAGTTTCTTCTGCGCACTGCCCTAGCCAACTGACATGTCACGCTCGCGCAGCACAAGCACATGGTGCAACTAGCCTGCTTGGAACCTCGCAGCCTACGCCCTAGCCAGACAAGACAGCAAGAAGCACAAGTGCAAAAACGTGATTCTCTCCGCTTTCTCCCTCCCCCCGAGAAACTTTTCCGAACCAGGAAAGAGTATCCCCGAGATGCCCTCCAAGGTATCCCCCTTACCCTTCCCTCGCCCCACTGTTCCGCCGGTGCATCTATCCCTTCAGGTCGAGAACGGTGGCCCCCAGCCAAAGGGGCTAGCTGGCAGCGCTGGACTTCCAACCTCTCCTGGCTCCGGCTTCTCATCGCCAGTGTTAGCCTGAGAGGTGTCGCTATCACTAGACTGGGGGCCTTCCTTCGGGCGCTTTGGCCAGCATAGCCGGCATACGTGCGTGTACTGGCTGCTCTCCGGCCTCGCTGTAAACTCCTCACATTTCTTGAATAGCCCATCCAGCACCCGGCTCCTTGTGTAGCCGAAACTTCTTGCCGGGTAGCTCTACAATGAGTGCACCTAGCCTTCTTAAGTAGGTCGGTGCATCTCCGGCCCCAACTCCGGCTCACTAGGCGAATCTTCGGGATCGCCTTCGGGGCCTCGCTCGCCACAACTTCTTCAGGCCCGGGCCCGGACCAGCCACCATGGCTCCACGATCCTCTCGCTCGCCCATTCGCGTCGGAGCTCGCCTGCTAGCTTGTCAGCATCCTGCTCTGTAGCCTTGCCAGTCCTAAGTAGCCAGCCACCGAGGTCGCCTGTTTCCACCTCCCCAGCAGGCCTCTGTCCGCCGGAGGTATCGGCTGTAGGCTCAAGCCTGTAGTCGCTCGCTGTGCTCCGACCAGAGCCCCTAGCCACAACCGGTCTCCCGATCATAGCCAACAGGCCCGCGGTCGCCGCCATAGCATCCGCGTAGGTAGCCATCTTCTTCTCCAGGGCCCCGTTCTCTTTGAGCCTCGGCATCAGGTAGTCCCGCTGGTAGCCCGCGTGGTTCTTCAGCAGGTTGAAGCCAACGGATAGCCAGCTCAGGTCCTCGAAGTATAGGCTCTCTCCGAGATGCACGCAAGTAGCTCCCGTATGCGCCGGTTAGCCCCAGTGGTTTTCGTTCGCCTCAGAATCGTTGATAGCCGGCCCTCCACCATGGCTAGCTCGTTCGGGATCATAGCCTGGAGGTCCGACCAACGTAGGCTGCCCCAAACCTTTAGTAGTTGAGCCAGATCCGCCAGCCAACGGCGACGCTAGCATCCAAGACTAGCCGATCCCATCTGGCCAAGATCGCTGCCGGGTACCTGGGCGCTCTCCTTGTCCAGGGTGCCTTCCAGGATAGCCTTTCGACCACCGTGTCCTTGATCGCCCAAGCTATCCTGCCTGAGGTTGCTCTCGTTTCAATGGACCATTGCGCGACTCTCTATCCAGCCAACCGCCTTGAGGATCGCCTCCAGCACGGTCCTGCCGCAGGGCTCATCGCCCCTAGCCATGATGTAATCTGCGAGATCCGCTGGTAGCCCAGGCGGGCGCTTGCTTCTTTTAGCCACAGACGCCAGCGTGCATGGATGGAGACGTAGCGCTTGAGTGTGGGGACTCCACACCTCCTTCAGCTTGACAGCCCACGTGCCCTGGAGCCTTTCTTCCCTAGCCTGTGCCAGGGACCCCTCATTGACCAGTCGCTTCTGCCTATCCCCTTTTGGAGGTTCAGGCTCGCTATCCTCTTGAAGCTTCCACCTCATCCAGGCCAGCGAGGTAGCCCTGTTGCCAGAGGCCCTTTCCACGAGGTCTCTAGCCTCCCGGGCTTTTTGTATCCACAGGTAGATCGACGCCGTTTTTGAAGACGCCGAGGGGTGCGAGGAGAGGCTGCCATTCTCGCTTGGCTATATAGCCAAGTACCCCTGCTCTCCCCTCTACTTCAAAATTACCCCCCCTGAAAAGGGGACTTTATCCAGAATGGCAACGGTCGCACCATTCCAAGTCACAGCTATCCTGTCTTCGCATGTCAGAGGCAACTCTCCTGCGAGCGACGATAGCGAACGAAACTTCGTTTCTAGCGAAGCTACCTTCAATAGCTTCGAGTAGAAATAGGTAAGCTAGCACACATAGTCGTAGCTCGTTCCTCGTCACGAGGTACGTTCAGGACTTCCGCTCGTCTCGTGAAGGCAGCCTTTGACAGGGCATAAGGCCAAAGTTTGGGGCTGAGCCGTCCATGTAACATAGCGATCGCTGCCTCTAGCTTCATCTGTTGAATCATCCGCTCAGTGCGACCGTTGCTCTGAGGACAATGTGGCACAGTCTTTGTGACCCATAAACCCAAACTTTCCAGTGATTCCACAAACCTGTGCTCTACGAAAGGCAAGCAAGCTTTCACCAGATTCCAGCGTAAGAGTTGTGATCAGCGCGTACCTTGCGTCGTTTGCCGCTTGTAAGTGTGGCCCTGACACATCAATCGCCAAAGTTCCCCGAGCCACTTTCGTCTGGGCGTAACCGCAGAAATGGTCTACGAAGTCTTCTGGACCGATGACAATCAAAGCATTCTGGATCGCACAATCCCCGTTTGCACTTCTGCATCATCTGCTTTAATAAGCTCAGCTCAGACTTCATGAATGGTGTTGTGGGTCATCCTTCAAGCTGACAGGCGGAACAGGGTGCGCCGGAGCAGTCTCTGGCACAGACGCATCCATATGCGACGCAGGCTCTAACGGATCCCCTAACCCTTCAACCTCTTCCGGCTCCCACTCGCATATCTCCCTAATCACCTCATCGGCATCACCACCCTCATCAAGAACCGGTAACCCCACTGGCAAAGGCAAAGGTAACGCGTCCAACCCTGGCTCAACAACTATAGGCTTGACAACTACACCACGCCCTCTAGCTCCACAGCCTACCCCCCCGAATCCCTGAGAAGAGAGAGAGGAGTTGACTTCAGGGTTCGGATGTGGTGGTGATGGCAATGCTGTTGCTGCTGTTGCTGCGGTGCGATCCAGGTTGCATCGGAAGTTCCAATCCACCAGCGTGTTCTTTACCTCCTGAGCGGCTGAATCCAAGTCTCTTGGAGTGTATGCTAATAGCATCACTCGCGTTCCTTGAAATGCTTCTGTGCCATGTCATGCCTTCGGGCTGAACTTGGCCGTCTTTCGACATGTAGGGAGCAGACGTCCTGGCTTGGCAGGTTGCCCATCATGCGGGACCCGCCATGTCACGCCCTCATCATCTGGACCCAACTCTTCGTCGCATACCCAGATTTCACCTCCACCATGCCTCGATAGGCCGTGAGAGAGGTTCTGTGTACCTGGATCATTGAATTTGTCGCGATGAGGCTTGAAAACCGTATTCTCCGTGATGGTGATTGTTGCATACGTGTGGTTTGGATCCAGCTGTTGAACAAACTTGTTGAGTGCCCGAGTGGTCTGCGGCATGTCAATGCTGAGTCGACACAATCCACTTACGCCTCCATGGTAGCGCCTCATGGCCCAGATAACCCTCTTTTGCGATTGCAGCATGATCCTTGTCGTCGTGCCCACCCACTTCTGTCTGCATGTGCTCGCCTTCGTCGAGGATGACTGGGTCGGATGTCTCCTCCTCACGAGGTTTGTCTTCATCGCTGGCGGCTGCGTTGTTCACCCTGGTACGGTGGGTCCTTGAAATGGCAGATCTGATCTCACGGAAGTTCTCCCATGATACGAAAGGCAAGCCATTGTCCAAGTAGATTGGTATGTTTCGTCCACACCGTGTCCTCAAAGATGGCCCATCCCAATCCCACGTGAACCGGAAACCTGCCTGTGCCAGCTTAGCTAAACCACAGATCCACTCCGTAGACCCCGTGGGCATCAAGATCTCACCATCCTTGCGAGTCCTGCAGCCTTGAGTCAGGGGCCTACAGAGCTCGTTTGCCCCACTATCCAGTAGGACTCGATCTGGAGGACCAACACTGCCTTCCGGAAGATTAGTGGTCGCCTTAGCTACCACGACCGATTGATCGTCTCCTCCTGATGTGAGATCTACTTGCAATCTGAAAACTCTGACGGATGAAGCCTTCGCACTAGGCGCAGCCTCACTTTGGTTACTATCAACTCCGAGCAACTGCTTAGCGCTTGCTTTGGCGTTGGCTTTCGAATCAGCTTTAGGGTTGGCTTTCGGAGTAGCCTTGGGATTAGGATTAGGGGTCGCATTAGCCGCATTGGCATGGGAATCCTTGCCCTTGCCTCCTTTCCCCCCTTTTCCTTCCTTGCCTCCCCTAGCTCCCGCCTTTCTCACCCTTATCTCCTTTCCGTTTACCTTTCCCTGCATCTCCTCCTGATGGCCCCTCATGCTTGAATTGACAATTATCCCTCTTACAACCTCCAGGCTTCGAATGAAAGTAGCACCTACGTGCCTCTCAGCGGCTGCCGTGGAGATCACTGATGCATTGCCAGAGTCCTGCTTGAAACTTCTACACGATTCATCGGCACTAAGCTCGGTAGTCTGAGCCTCGATGGTTGTCAGGTATTTCTCAATTCCATCCGACGTGGGACGCGACGAGGTCTCGGGAAATAGCTTTAGGAGATTAATCACATGGAAAACGCAGGGTACTTCTTCTCAATGCTTTTTACCATGTTGGATACAGGAGCGATGTCTGGAAGTCCAAGTTGCGTCAACCTCCTCTTTGCCAATCTGTAGCGTCTCAGAGTCGACTCTACTTCAGTGGCGGCTGTAGCTACGGGAGGGTTCCTAAGGAAGTTGAGCAAAGTCTGGGTTTCTTCAGAGCCGGCTGGTTGTAGTCTTGACAGCACACTGACAAACAACATCACAGATGAAGTGGGACCATCTCCAGCGCGCTCTACAACTGGCACTTTTACCGAATCTGGCAACACTCTTAGCATTGCCGAAGTCAGCCTCGCTTCCAAGTCCAAGTCAATGTCTTCACTTCTAACAGCAGGCGCCTGAGGAATGGCCAATGTTTCGGATTGAATCCGGTACAGCTTTTCTGCTTCCTTCCAGCTGTCAGTGAAATACGTGGCAAATTTTGCCCCAATCCCGCTGCATATCGTGATGCACTGAGACTTCCACAAACTCAACTGAATTCCAGTCTCCCAGGCCTGAGCTCCTGAAATCTTCAGCTCGGGAAGGTGTATCAGCCTTTTCCACCGGTTGTCGGAGATGCCCTTGCTGTCCTCCGGATCACCCTGGATGTGCTCAGCTGCTGTTGTGTTCCGCATCGGCATACTGCCGGAGCTATTGGTCGGAACCGCTGTCTGCGACCCCGTTGAACTAGCATTCCTAGTCAAGTCAGTCCCCAAAGCATGTGAGTAGAAGGGACGCATAACATCCTGTTGTTGGGTCAGCAGTGCTTGACGCAATCTGCTCAAGCTCGCTGGCAACTCCGGTGGCTCACTCGTGAACCCACCCTGCGGCCATCCATGACGGTCTACTAGGCCCCACCATTCATCCTCAACACTCTCGGTCTCAGCGGTCTGCTGGCTGAAACTGGGAGTCGGTCTTTTGGCTTCGGGTGTCAACAAAAACTGCTGTGGTTGCTGCTGCTGTCCGCCGCATGCGCCACTGTTCACCGCAGCTTCTGTGCTTGAACCCACGTTTTTATGAAGAACCCTCCTAAGCTCCTCACTTTGTGATCGATGTTCTGCATGCTTGGTTTGAAGCTTGATAATATCATCCGCTTGATGTTTCACTTGCCTCCACAACTTCATGATGCGCTCTTGTGCCTCTTCCTGTCTGGATTCGGTCCGAACACACCCGTTGGATAAGACTTGTAATGACCTGCTATGCTTATCCACTGTAGCCACAATGTAGGATGGTAACACGTCTTGGCCTTGGTCCAGGTGGCCTTTCACTTGTTCCCAAACCTTAGCTTGATGCCCAACCACTGTCTTGATCTTTTCCATCTCATCATGAAGGTCCTCGTGCGACCTCATATACGCCACCTGTGAAGAAATGTGTTCCAGGGAAGTTTCCATGCTCGCGAGGCGGTGTTCAAAACCGACTCTGGAAGAAGTCCGCATCTCTAAAGTGATGAGCTTCATGTCTTCCGCCAGGGCAAGCATGTCTCTCTGTACTGAGGCTTGGAAGTCTGCTTCCCAACGTTGTCTCGCCTGAAACTGTTGATCTACATTCTCCAGAACCCGCATAATCAGCTCTGATCGCTCTGACTGTGCATGTGTTGCTCTTCCTGGGGTCTCTGTGCGCCACTGCACCTGTTCCGCCAGGTAAGTAATGCCGTTCTGCAGAGCATGTACTCTTCTACCGAGATCTGAGAAGCACCCAAGGACTCCAAAGCATTATTGGCACTTGCATCTGAATCAGCTGTCTAATCAGAACATCCGCAGATGCCTCATCCTGACTGCCGCTCGGCGGCCGCAACAAGCTGTTTGCCGTGAGATGTGTCATGCTGTTGGATGCCTGGGAAAGCGTTTGGGCAGTCATAACCTTTTCGGTCTTTGGAGATTGAGAGATTGCCAGAATGTCAGGAGAATTAACAAGTTGAGCCTGCATCATAACGAACCTCCTTGATGAACTGGGTCTTGGGATGCTATCATCAAACCACCAAACCCCCCAAACCCCAAAACCCTTCCCTACCTCGACTCTTCACTTCAGACGCACCTTGAGCCACGCACAGGTGGCATAGTTTATGGTTAAGACACGTCGTGTCATTCTTGTCGCAGTTGCCATGCATGCGTACCTGGCACGACACACCTTCTTTCTGCACTCTCTTCTAGGGCTTCCTGCACTCGGCGGTCAATCATTTTCCTGAAGAACCTGAAGGAAGTAGTTGTTGACTACCGCTTCCTGCTGGTCGTGATCCGTACTTCCCGAAGTTCTGACAAATGGTACAATGTCCACTGCGACCTAACTACGGCTAATAGCCTGAACTTTCAAACTACCGTTAAGCCAACCCGAGCAGGATTTTTTACTCTTCGGACTTGATCCCAAAGGTGCGCGCGTGAAGACATAGCTAAGGACAACAAAAGCACGCGCGGAGGCAGGGTAAAATCTACGGGGGGTTGAAGCGGAGACTCAGCACCAGGCGCGGCCGGATGGAAAACGCTGCCGCTGGGAAGCTTGCCTGGCTAGGTCCAAGGCACGGTCAAGGCCATGCCAGGCCATGCCGGGTATGCTTGGCCACCGGGCCCTCTTCAAGGAAGCCAGGGAGAGCTATGCGAGCGATGGCCTTTCAGGCCAAGGGCAGGAGCGCTCCGGGGCATGGCGGTCGCGGCGATCTTCAAGTCCCGCCCCGCCTTGGCCACCCAGTCCACGGGCGTCACGTTGAACTTGCGACCGTCCATCCCCGGCAGACGCCGGAGCTTCAGCACCTCAGGCTTAAGCCCAAAACAACCTCATTGCAAAGCTAGCTCAGCGTTGCAGGTCGCGCATCTGCCAGGAAGTGGAAGAACACGTCCTCGGCAGCTGCGCCCGTCACAGAATGGCCACCTGCGCATCGGCTTGACCATCGCCGAGCACATGTTGGCAAGGCGGCAAGGGACCTATCAGGCCAGGCCGATGAATGTAGCAAGGCAGGCCTTGCCGGGCTGCCTGCAGAGTGCCACCCGCTGCCCGCTCGCATCCGCATGCATCCGCTCGCCTCCAGCACCAGCACCTCTGCCAACCACTTGCTCTGAGGGTAGCCGTTGGCCTCGCATCGACAGCAACAAGGAAAGAGCTTCAGGCTTCAGGCTGGCTTCACCTGGTCACCAGTTCCGTAGAGAGGCAAGGCTCGGATGTCCCCCAATGCTGCGCTCTCCCGGACGCTGCCGTGTCTGTCCTCGCAGCGGCATGTCACGGCAGCGTGGCTCAGGCCTAAGGCTCGACGGCAAAGTTCCCCCGCAGTCCAGCATATCTGGCCTCAGAGGCGCTCTGCTGCGCAATGCAGCGCATGCAGGCCGGGCCCCCGGGCGTCAGAATACCCATGGTGGAAATATGGTGAAAAGGCTTTGGTCTGGAAATACAACAGAACTCCAGAAGGTGAGCCGTTGCATCGACATTGTCCTGCATGCAACTTAGACCAATCCCCATGCGCAGGCTCCGATGTCCCAAACCGGGTAGCAAATTTTCAGAAACTCTGCAATAGACTTGAAACGGAACAGCCATGGCTACGAAGCGATGTCCTTCTTCATGAGCTCAAAGGGCTCAGTCAAGTTCACCTGACAAAATCACCCGACGACTTCATGGACCCCAGGGGTACCCCAAGCGCCTTCGCCGCTGCATGGAGTACATGTGTGACGCGGCCTGACAAAAGTCGATTCTCTGCCGCTCTGCTCTGCCTTAGCTCGGACGTCCGAGCGGGTCCCACTCCCACTGTCCCCGCCTGCTAGACGCTGCACGTCTGCAAGGGGTCGTCCGAAATTTCGTTGCTGCAAGTCCCCAGGCACAGCCTGGCGAAATTTCACCTTGAAACTGCAGGGCCCAGCCCGCAGCCCCTAGCCGATGCCTCGAGAAGGTGCAGGTGAGTGGCACCCGCCTTCTTGGCTGCCTGCGGACTATAAGTCCTTCGTCAGTCCTAGAGAAATCTACAGGTGCTAACCTGACCTCTATGACACGATGCTGCGCGGCTGCAGGGTCCGCAGCGCGCACTAGACAAAAGACCCGACTGCATGCCCTCGATTCCAGGAGCGCTGCCACAATGCTCCTGGGCATGTGCAGACTGTCTCGGTGACCTATAGGGCTTTATTCTCTCTGCTCCTTCCCAGGAAGCCCGTGGATCCGGTGACCAAGGGCGCGAACTCTCCGGCCTGCAGTCCCTGCAAGACCTGCACCGTCATGCGCACCGCACGTGCCGCATCGACCCGACTGCCTGCACCATGGCGCCTTCATACGGCCAATGGCTCGGCTGACAAAGATAGGCAGAAGGATAGGCGGGCGCCTGATCCAAAGATGTACCGCAAGACATCGGAAAACGAAAACGACTGGGAGCCAGGCAGCTCGCGAGGAAGCGGCCTGGCGCTGGGCTTCACCAAGCTCGCTTTCGACCAGGGAAATGCTTGAGGTGGCAGACCTGCAAGGGCCGAAGTGCGAAGGGCCGCAAAAGAATCACGACGTGCGCTGTCTTCGGCCGCGGCCAACTGCGAAGGTCTGGGCAGGGAGCCGTGTAGAAGGTGCGACCTGAGGCCCTCGGTGCCCTGATGTGCCCTGCTCAGCTCTGGAAGTAATGGCCCATTGGCTTCGCTGAGCTTTCCACGGCGGACAAAGGTGCCAGAGTGCTCAGACTGCCTGTCACGTGTGCACCGGCCGTGCTGGCTGTGCTGGCGCCGGGCCGTGCTGTGCCCGACCTGTCTCTCCTGCGACAACTGCAGCTGAATGCGACACGCTGCTTCCAGGTCCGATGACCACTCGACTTTGGCAGACGTAGAACCTGGGCCATTGGGCATGCTTGGAAGGGGCACTATAGCCTTTGTGGAGCCACTGCCATCTGCTGTATTTTGTCGACTGGCTGACACTTTGTTGTTTTTGAGTCGTTACTTCCTACCAAAACCTTGGTGTCGAATGAGGTTTCTGGACTGAGGGACAGTGTGTATGACTCTGGGTTTCGGGTGGAGGCCGGTTGGGTGTCACATGGTGTCACGCATCTTTGTTGCAGACTTGCAAGCTTCCTGAGTCCCCGACCCCGCACCTTTCGGTCCTGAATTGGGAGTTTTCGGAAATAAAAAAGCTCTACGGGGTACAGGCTAGGACTAGGACTAGGATTCATAACATCAGCAGTCTGAATACAAGTTGCGAGAAGCCCAGTGTGCCCCTGCTCCCCCATGCCACCTGGAAGCAAACGTCTGCAGGATAGCACGGCCTGACCAGGTTGGCAAGCGAATTTCGCAAACTGACATGCACATCTTCTCAGCCCACTCAAGTCTATGTGAAGGTGACACTTATACTCTGCACTTCCTGCGTGCCAGGCCCGAACCCTTTGATTGCCCGCAGCATGAGTTCCGCTTCGTCAGTGGACGAGACACGTGCTGCTGGCCTCTTTGTCGACTGAAGCCCCGCGGCCGATGGTCAGGGCCCGGTAATCGCCTGCCACAGCAGTCCTGAGCTCTGAGCATCCCGTGCGATGGAATCCTTTTAGGAGATCCCCCAAGACCGTTCAGCCGTTCAGCACCAAGGACCAAGCAAGAGGAGGGCGTCGCTGGCCACGTTGCTACCCATTGCCTCGTTTCTCACATCTGCTCAAGGTGCTTCCGGATCTTCCGAGCCTTGAGCCAGAAGTTGTAGAAGGGCGAGCCGAAGGCCATGCCTTGACAGAGCGCCGCAGAGCAGAGCAAGCAGTCTACAAGGGTGCCGAGCCCATGAAGATGGCAATGGACATCGAGTTCAACTGCTCAGAGAACCTCATGAAGACTTGCGAGTGCGAGTACTCAGCTGAATGGAGAACAAACTAACTACTGGTTCAATAATGCTTGGAACACTGCGTGGCAAGGAAGTGCCGCACCGACCCGAACCTTGCGCAGTCAGCCGCGCTCTGCTGCAGGCGCCCTCGGATATAACAACCCTTTGCCCTTCAGAGACTGGGGTCGCTGCGCACACCAGGAACCATTCACACAGCCAGAGAGTAACCGGTGCACCGGCACTGCCTTCACACTAGGCAAACACTGCTCTCGGACATCCAGGAAGCAAACCCAACATGGCAGGCCCGCAAGAAGACACAAACACCAGCCCAGTGCCACGTAGGCTGCTGGTAAGGCCACGGCCTGAAAGTAGAAGAATCTAAACGTTTGCACGAGCACAGCGGCTGGCTAGTCTAAGCTGTGAGCCAGCACCAAGCCTGACGTTCTGTGAATCTTCACGGCGTCATGGCCACAATTTCTGCCGGCATGCAAGTAATCCCAACGACCCACCTGCACCATGTTGTGAACGCACGAGCATGTCCAGCAGCACAGTCAGCACGTACCTGGAAAGATTCAACACGGCAGAAAGTATCTGTCAAAGCACGGGGCTAGCAATTCAAGCAAACAGCACGTCGGGTCTAGTTCGGCTTATAGGTGTAGGGTGAACGTCAGGGCCTTTGTTCTGGTTGAAAAAAGTTTGTGAAATCTTCGATTTGCTCGGTACGACAGCCGGGCTCAACTTCCATCCACCGCATGTGCCAGACGGTACGACTTTCGCAATCATACACCCCCACCCAATTCGAAACATGGCATGCTGCCCATGCGTTTCTGAATCGCCCTGGCCCCGACGACAGTGCAAACATGCAAAGCCATCAGCCCAAGGGCATTGCTGGCAGCAGGGTCGTCAGCCTTAGCGAAATGCACAGCTCAGCAACATCCGGAAAAATCTTTCAATCCATGCACAAACACTGGAACACTGACATCGGTCTTCTGAATGATGGCCCCAAAAGGCGACAAACGCGGATAATTCTGCAAACAAGCTCTCTCGCTCATGCTGTTTCACTGAACCACAGTCGGCGTAGGTACTGGGTTTGAATACGAAACGCAATGGTGGCGCTACTTTTTCCAAGTGGCTCAAGGGCCCTTCGATCCGAAATGTTACAGTCACGTACAACTTTGAAGCTACGCTGCACATTAGCACTGTGCAAATGCATGCGGCCTGGTGATACTGCACAAAAACGAACGGATATTCATACCCGTCTTACCTACTGACGCATGCGTGGCGCCTGCCTGTATGTATACTTCACAAGTCATGCACAGTGACACGTCCGACCGCTACTAATATAACGTTCCGTTCCGTGCTTACTCAGCGGGTCTCATCAGTGAATTCGCGCTTTGGGTTCCGGATTTTTGGGTCCAGATCAGAAAGAACGATGCGGCCGGTTTTCATGAGATTGAAGAGCTGGGTTAAAGGCTTCATGCTGTCTGTGCGTCCGCCACCTGAGTCGACATGTTTGGCCACCGTAACCTATCCCCGTGGGGCGCGTCAAGCCTCCACGTCTGGAAGTCATCGTGCCACAGTTGCTGCCGCATTGACAACTCGATTCCGAGTCGCTTGTCGGAAACCTTGGCTTCCTGAGCCGCGTTCAGGTGAGCTCAGCGAACGGCAATCGGTCACCCATAGGTGGCGCATCGCTTGTTGAGACGATTCAAGCCAAGTTGACATGCTCGGCGTCTGGCCTCTGAGCTCACATATGATCGCGCGGATCTTGTCCCGCTTTCCGCGGCTGATTGCATGCCATAGGTTTCAGCCTACATGGTGCTTCTACAAACCCTTGTGATTGTGGTAGAAGAGTATCCAATGACATGAACCACATTCGTGTCAGTGTTCTCGCTTGTGAGGCAATGGAGGCGCCCTTGCTGGGAACGCAGTCCGTCCTTGTTTGCGAATGACGCATCCGAGAAGCTCATCACACAAATATCATGCCAGGAGAAGGCACCAGCTGCAAAACGCACTAGCGCCGATTGGTCTGCATGAGTCATGTCGACCACCCGATTCGTATCCCGCAAATCCGACGCCGTTGCCTTGCAGCATCTCCTCGCAGGCAGTTTACACGATAGCAAAGATCAGGCCGTGCATATCTGGCAATCCAAGTTGGCGGGCCTACCACCGACCCGAAACTCGTGATCTCCTGAGGCGTGGCGTCGTCTGGGGCCTTCAGGGTTGGATCCACACTGACGTGGCGCACCTGCCTTGCGTTGTCCTCTGCGTCGATGGTGGCATCGAGGTTCTCAGACTGCCTTAACCGCCTACCGCACAACCGAAAATCGGTATGTTCAGTTTTTCCTATGTCGATTTTCGCCAATATCTTGTCCATGATGATTTGGCCTTCTTCGGTTGCACACCAAAGTAGAACATCCACATGAGTGGCAAGCACCACCGCTGATAAACCGTCTGACCCTGGCAGGTAGTACAATCTTGTCGCCAACCGTGACAACTTCAATCCCTCTTCGACGATGGCAGTCCGCAGCCTTACGAAGAAACCTCGTCCAGCATCCATTGTTCCATAGATGGGCAATCTGCAGAGGCGCATGACGGCAGGGTCAACGCCTGGCAACCCACCTGCCAGGCTGTTTCATCAGAAGGACTCGCTCCAACTCCAAGAGTTCACTTCGGAAGTCGGCCGAGGAAACGTCCCGGAGAACAGGCGCAGCTTCCTGCATGCCGCGTAGCTGGCAATGATCCAATGTGTCTGTGCTTCCGCCGTTGGTGCATCACATCTCACTTCGTCCCGGCCTACGCCTTCGTAGTTTCCGCAACTTACTAGGCGGCTCCGGAACTTTGGGGAGTATCCTCCTTTCCTTTCCTTTGCTCATGCTTGTGAACATCTACCCGCTGCGATGGCACGGGTTGGCCCTCCCGTAGTAAGTCTTCTAGGATCTGCCCGCTGACGGGTGCAGCGGCGTTGTGCTGTTGCTACTTTTCCCACTCAGTCTTCCTAGCACCCGCGACACCTGCTTTGGTATCCTCATCAAGTCGATGGTACACCAATTTCTTCGCCGCTTTCCCGATTGCTCTTCCTGTTGTTGCTGTCCGAACTTCTCAGCTACGAAAGCCTTGTAACCGAATCTCTCAGCCATGAAGGCCCTACCCTCGGAGGTCACATCCGCTTTCGGCAATGATGACAGGTCTGGCGATCCTGTACCTTTCAATCGAAACACTGTTGCTCCTGTCCACCACTCTTTCGACACGGCGTCCACTGAGGAACCAATTTGAACCAATCCCCACTCGTCACGCCCATCATCGCTTGCCCCTGACGCAGACTGTCACTCGAAGATGATCCAGGTTCTTGTGATGTAACCCGGGAAATCGGATGGGCTTGGCTGTCACAAACCCCCGACGAGGAAACTTATGAACTCTAATTACCTGATTCCCTGACACTTTTCAAGTGGTCTCCTTCAGGCTCCTCAACGTGACTTTGCTGCTGTGATGTTGGATCTCCCTCTGGTCGCTTAGCGCTCTCACGCACTTCTTTCCCACTCTCAGCAGGGGATGTGCTCTGGTTCTGGGTATATAGAAACCTAGGCTCTGCAGAAATGGTGTCTTCGCTTCATCCAAAGTTGGAACCGTGAAGCACCCACCACCATCCCCAGCATTCCACCGGGAGAATAGCGCTAAAGTAGTCGTACTAGCCGAGTATCGACCGCGAGCAAGCAACACAGTAGCATGCGACGACTCTCCTTTTTCATGGATGTGGCACAAATCCCAGATTGTCGCTAGCCTTCGGCTAGCCATCCCCAGGGTGGGCAGGGTGGGTACTTCAAATTTACTCCCCCGAAAAGGGGACTTTCGCCAGAATGGCGACGGTTGTCACAAATCCCTTGCCATTCAAAGCCATGCTATCACTTCTCGCAGGGACTGGCAGCAGGCACACCACGATAGCCGACCGAGGAACGATAGCCATAGCGAAACTACGATTCTAGCCGAAGCACCTGCGATGGTTTCGGTGGGAAGGTTGTCGGGCTAGCACACATAGTCGTCACTCGTTCCTCGTCACGAGGTACGTGCACTAGCCCAATCTAGCCCACCACCATCCCCAGCATTCCACCGGGAGAATAGCGCTTTAAAGTAGTCGTACTAGCCGAGTAACGACCGCGAGCAAGCAACACAGTAGCATGCGACGACTCTTCTTTTTCATGGATGTGGCACAAATCCCAGTTAGCCTGGATTGTCGCTAGCCATCGGCTAGCCATCCCCAAGCAGAGCCACTCAGGCTACCAGGGTTTAGCCTACGGACCTTTCTGCTCAACTTCGACACCTTAGCTGGTGCCCCTCGCTTTCGCACTCCTAGCTCCTTGTAGAAGCTATCGGAGTGCGCGAGTAGCCGGTCCAATATCCTCCAACGGAACTCCTCCCCCTTGAAGTCAAAGGACTGGAACTCTTCGTTGGTGAAATGGTCCGCTGGCTGGCTGAGGTCTCTCCGTATCAACTGTAGCTGTAGCTCACAGCTGCTGTGGGATAGCTCTTCGGCCCGTCTCCATCAAAATTAGCACGGAAGGATACTTGGTCGTCATGGCCTTTCTCAGAAGGGGCTCTTTTTTTGCCAACCCATCCAGCAGCCGGCCTCGCCTCCCTTATGCGGCCTGTACGTGCGACCGGGTAGCTCCACGACCAGACCCTAGCCTTCTTTAAAGGTTGCCTGGGCCGGTGCTTTTCGACCGAAGCCCACCTCTCCGTCGCCGTCCTCGTCACTGTTCTCCGCTTCTCCGCCTCCAGCTCCGGCACTGGTGGGATCTCCTGGACGATGGTCTCGCCGATGTGCTGTGCTGCCTCGCTCGCCAGCTTCTCCGCCTCTCGATCCTCCGACATCGCCGCTGCCGCGAACATAGCCTGTAGACCCGGCCGCCATAGGCGTCATGTAGGTATCCCACCCTTCAGGTTTCCAGCGGCCCAGCATGTCTCCATCTGCCGGGAAGCACCGCTCTCGCTGTGCTCACCTAGCAGCCCCGCTGTCGCCACCATGGCGTCAGCGCAGGTTGCCAATCCTCTTCTCCAGCTGGCCGTTCTCCTTCAGGCGGGCCCTTCAGCAGCGTGAAGCCCTCGCCCAGCCAGCCCTTATCCTCACAAACCGGGAGCTCCTTTATCCTGCGGTGGCCCCGGTGGTCTTCGTTCTCCGGAGGATGGTGTACAGCCTACCGTCGCTGAAGGTGATGTCGCCCGACCACCGCAAGCTAGCCCAAGCTGGATGGCCGCTGGGTATCTGGGGGTTTTGTTGGTGAGGAAAGCCTTTTCAGGATGGTATCCTTACGGCCCAGACCAACCGGCCCGTAGTAGCCCGGCTAGCCTGGTCGAATTCGGCCACCCTCTCCATCCAGCTAACTGCTTTGAGGATAGCCTCCGGCACCGTCCTGCCACAGGATTCATCGCCTCTCGCCACGGCCGCTCAGACCAGCCGGCGCACCAGGCCGTCCGCCTCCTCGATCTCCTCTGGACTGGTTCGCAACTGCAGCCATGAGCTCCTCGATCAACGTGGCGTGCGTGTACCCTCCATCGGCGCATCCGACTAACTTTCCGTCGCCCGAAGCGTCACGACAACGCCGTACCGACCTATCATCTCCAAAGTATCATTCCCTATATCTAATCTAATTTCATTTGCAAGCTACGCAACAACTCCTTAAGAAGAAAAATGGCATTTCGGAACCTGCTCCTGGCATTACAGAAGCCGCTTCTCCCGAACATATCTCACTCTCAGCCCAATCCTGTCTAAAGCCTCTGACATACGCCTCAACAGCCTCAACACAGACACACCCGCTAAAGTCCGCCTACACCAGTGTCAGGAACCCCATGCTCAGCAAGATCTGTGCACTCAGCTACACATGCCTCATGACAGCGCGGTCTGCCAAGGATCACTTCCACATCGTTGCCCTTCTCTGCCACGAAGATCTCGAATCGCGCCAGCTCATCAACATGCAGAAACTGTTCTTCACCGATGCCCATTGTGTCCGTCGTCCTCTGCTACCATCGGTTTGCTGCCCCGCCGCGCCAGAAGCTTGTCCTTGCAGCGGCCATTTACTCTTCCAATGACCCTTTCGGTGCCAACGCCCGGACGTGGCTGGCGCGCTTCCATAAACGCGCTCAAGACGCGGCCTTTCCTCATCTTTCCCCGGACCAATCATTTCACTAGCTCTTCTAGAAAGCGGATGTCGTGTGCCCAGCTGCCTCCTGAAATTCAGTGGCAAACCAAAGCTCCACTACCACTTGAGATAACTCGGATCGGGCTTTCCAGTCGCTGCGAGCGATTGGATGCACTTCAGGAAGGGATTAATAAAGCACATGTTCGATCAGAGATTCGCTTAACGACCGGACGATTTCTTGTCAAAGGTCCCCTTATTCCTTATGTTACCTGAAACTTTCCATTGAAAAGTGGGATGCGGAAGCTGCAGCGCAAGAGCTTCTGGAGGTCCAATGCTGGGATCAACGCTAAGGCTAAGGAGTGAACAGCAGCATTTGCAGGAGCATGGGCGCCACCAGCGGATACAAGCACTTCACAGACCTACGACGGCTGATTTCAGCTTGTGAGCAAGTTCTTAAGACTGGCAAAACTCCATGCTGGTGCTTGCAAACCAATCTCAGGTTACTCTGCTTGCGACATCTCTTCATGATTGTAAAGCAGGGACATCGGCGTCAGAATAGGAGGTTCCGACAGGTTTAGCCGGCTCACCACTGCACATCGAACTCGCCTTCGCAGGAAGTGCCTTCCCCATCCAGTCCTGGGCTCCTGCTCCAGGGTTGCCCTCCGCATGATAACTCCCGGATTGCCTCAGCTCACAGAAAGCACTGAGCACCCCTCGCAGGCCGCACCGTTCCGCCAGGCCCCAGACCCACCAGTTGCAGGCCTGACCGCACAGGCCGGCCGGCCACCGACATCGCGCCCACCACCGCTCCAGCCTCCACCTCAACTCGAAGCGGGGCTTGGGCCCCGACTACGCTCTCTCTCTCTCTCTCTCTCTCTCTGCGGCCTGTGAATGGGGGAGGAGGACGGCCCCAGCGCCTACGACGGAGCCCTGCCCCACCTGCCATCCGAGCCGTGACCACAGCAATCGTTGCAAACCGTATAACGATGCCTCACATTCACCCAGGGCTTGGTGAGTGAGCAGCAACGCCCCCTGCGGCGCGACCAAGACACCACATATCTCAAAAAAATACCGCAGAGGCCTCTCCCACGTGCAATTTGCGCGGTTCCAGCGGTGGTTCTGACACAGCCACCTGCTTCCAGTAGCAGCGTTTTGGGTAAGCTGGTCAGGTCAGTCAGCCGCTTGCCGTCGCATGCAGAGACACACGTCCACCCAGAAGGCGTAGGTACAACGACATGGCCTCGACGGGGCACAGTGAGGACGGCTTCACTCGCCACACGCGCGATCATGCAGGGTATCCGGAGCAACGAAACAAATGGTCTTTGCCACGTGCATTTCGGGGCAATCAATCTCTTGTCTTGACTCCTGCACTGCCCTGCACAGTCTCGCTCACAGGCTCACACTGTGTTTTGCTCTTGGCTCCGCACCCATGTGCCCGCCAACTGTGCTGGGTATCGGGGAAAGGTCAGCCTCCGATCCATCTGAACCGAGACATTCGTTTGGGGAGTCTTGCGGACGGCCGCGGCATTAGTCCGGCACTTCGTTACGTGTTTTGGGATGGATTGTGTGTGAAGTCCTCCAGGTTCCGACTGCGGCACCGTGCTCGCACGAACCGATCGCGTTGCTTCAAGGATCTTGTGAAGGCAGAAGCACAGGTGACAGAAAGGTTTGACTCGCACGTGCAGAGGCTTTCTGCATTACGCATCACTGCCCAACTGACTCACAACACTAAGATCAGGCGCTCCGTTCTGACAAGGTGTCCAATTCAGCCGGGTTCAAGGTCTTGTTGACGTGGTTTAATGAATGTTCTGTTGACTTCAGAAGGGCCTTACCACGTAACATCACTACACGTGTTGTCGAGAGCTTCGTAAGGACTTCCCAGCGCGACCGCATTTCAATGTCCTCAAAGAAAAGCTCATCGAGACATGTCGGCTTAGCTTGGCTTATCTCCAATGCGGGTGGCCGCGCAAATGCGGCTGCCGCATCAGGATCTGGTCATCCAACCAGGCGTCTGGCATAGCGAACACTGCAGCGATTGCATCTTTGGAATCATCATTCATCAATCGGCATCATCGTCAAAATTGACACAAACAGGGTAGCAGTTGATGCAATCCTTGCTCTCGAGCTCTCGATTGGATAGATACCAGCACCACGCAGAAACCGCATCAAGCATCGCCCTCACCAACCACCCCCAAAATGGCCATCTGCTGAAACCATAAGCAACCGCGATCTAAATCGACCGGCTGAAGCAATGGCAGCTCCAATTGTTGCAGCTGGCATGCAGGCAGCAATCCATGCCTGAGCACGACACGCCGCACCTGCCATCGGCACTTGTCCCCAAGCCTCTCAAGCAACGCTTGCCTCTGGCTGGAGCCTGAAAAAACCAGGAGTTCAAGTTCCGAGATCCGCGGATGTACCTTCGACAACTAAGAGGGAAGGTGCAATGCTGAGCAAACCCTGCCTGCAAAGAAACGCTGAGCTCAGTGTTAGCGACCAGCCATATACCTCTCAGGCTCTCAGGCTCAAAAGCTGCATACAGATTGGAGCTGCTCGCGCCGCGAAACTCACCACCACCATTCCTGAGGCAGTGCAGCAAGGAGAATCCCCATATCTTCCTGGCTCTGAAGAAACAGACCTGCCAAGCGCAGACCGAACTCCCACCGTTTCAGGCCCATCGATGCCGTGACCTCTTGCATACACTCCGAGATACTCCGAGGCTACCGCATGCTACCGCTATCTTTCAAGTCTCTCGGTAGTCGGAGCGGGCCGCCTGACCTGATCGGCCATTCCAGCCAAATCAAGATCCAAGAGAACGTCGGCAGAGGCCTCAGCACAGCTGTGCACACTGCCACCCTGGGTCACATCCTCACGACGAGCGGTCTGAGTCTGGGCTGCACACCATCACCGGCGGACCAAACAGCAGCCAGGTTGCAGCGAAAAGGTAGCCTTCAGGCTCCGCCTGTTCGGACGCGAATAAAAGAGCTGATCCAACACGAAAAAGCGGCACCGCACCTGCCAGCGCCAAGCGCGGCCCACGCCGAATCCTTGTGCCTGTGCAAGAGTAACATCTCTTTGCACTAACCTCTTTTGTTGCCCCCTTAGGCCTCAGGCTTGGGCTTAGGCATCTTAGGCTTCCTCATGCAACACGTAGCCGCAGCCTCTGCCAGCAGCCCAAAAGTGCAGTAAGCCACCAAGCTGCAGCCTGTCCTGAGAAACCAAAAAAAGATTTGGCACGACTTAACCTGGCTTCGCCGAGTAACTGAAGAAAAAGTGTGAGGAGCAGGGCAAAGACGTCTCCGAGAAGATCGTGGCCTCCGCAAGCGAAGTGAGATTGGGGTTTTAAACTTTGTGGTGTAAGGAGTGCCGGGGTTCGGCAGTCCGAGCCCCATGCAGAGTAATCCAGCAGGCACCCGAATCGGTTGCTGTCTGGACTGCACCAGCAAAGCACCCTTCCAGACCGAGCCATCTGGCAAAGTCCGACCGGTGCGTCCCGACAACATGGACCTGCAGCCGTCTCTGCTTGTCTGATAGTGATATGATCTTCCTGCCAAGGAGCAGGGGCTGGAGGGTCACATGATCCCCGACTGCACAGCCAGCAGTGCAGACCTGAGCGCGCCAAGTGCGATGCACGAGCGATGCGCAAGCCGGGGATGGCAATGGGCCCCTGATGGCCCCTGGCAGCGTTCTCGCCCACGGCGCAGTAGTCCCCAAAAGCCAATGGCCGCAGCTGGAGCTCTGCAGCCTCCCAGCTCTTTTGCTCTCGATGTCTGCTGTCGGCTGCCACTATGGCCCCTCCTCGGCGGCGGCAGGGCGCAGCTTCGCGCCTTCGGCGACAACGCAACAGCGTCCCAAAGAGATAAGGTCGAACCTCGCAGTCCACGCATTCCACGTCCACGCATTGCAATCCAATGGCGGCATGGCGTGTTCAGGCAGCGACTCTGAGACGTGGCGTGTGTCGATACGGCAGTAGCCAGCGGCCTGCAAGCCAAGCCTGGACAAAATGAATGCGAAAAGCACGTGATGTGGCTCAAAAGCGAGGCCCCGGCGAGCGAAGGTAGGCGAAGTAGACCGGCCCCCCCCGAAAGGCTCCCAAGCAGAGCTCGTTCACGAAGACGAGCAGCCGATCCTAATCTCGAACTCGGCAAAACTCCCGAAAGACCGAAGGCCGAACGAATCTCGGAATCCCTCAAGCTGTACAGAGAAAGCGGCCACTGCCCACCACCTCAAGAAGGCCCACGAATTCACCGAACACGCTCCTGCAAGCACAGCCCAGCACTCTCTGTCCTTTGCACAACTGGGGACGGTTTCAAAACTTGTCCTGCTCGGTACCTTCCAATGAGTAGCCATTTCGTGCAGATCACCTTTGGCGCCGCACTGCTCGGCACTAGATGCACTAGAACGGTCAAGCTCCTATCGGGCCCGTGACCAGCAGAATCATCAGCAGAAGGTAAAGCGGATATCCCACGAGCCTGGAGGCAAAAACCAGTTTTTACCTCTGCTTCTGAGCGTGTGCGGACTTGGTCCAAAAGGCGCCGGCACCAGGAAACAGAGCGACCAGGCTGCGCCCGAACTACGAGCCTGAGTCTCAATGGTTGCCAGTTGGCAGAAGGTCTGCTCTGATCTCCACTCTTACTCTTCCTCCAATCCGTGTCTCTCATGTGCGAACACGTGACCAACTGGCTAGAGAGCTTCAAGGGCAGCATCGCGGGCCAAATCACGACTCCACTGATCCAAACCTCGGAGCGCAACGCAGTGCCGCAGCGCACTGCTATGCACTGCTATGCGCTGCTACTGTCCAGCGGCGTCGCAACGGCATCGCTCCGCGTCCAGGCTGCAGGCCCATGCAAGCAGCCGCCAGCAAAGCACAGCCACGCTCTGGAAGAACCCTGGGCTTCAGCATTCAGCACGGAGGGTCGCGATGTGAGCACGACGCCGCGGTTCAGTGTCGCAGTCGCCTGAGCAGCCCTTCTGACTGGCACTGAGACATAGATCAAATCTCCGGCCGGACTCCTCTGCCTGACAGTCTGCACGCTCTGCTGCAGCTCTGCCACGTCTTTCTGAAATCTGATCCTCGTTCACACCGAGGACTGTCTCCTGGCAACTCCGCCCCGCTCTGCTAAGCCTCCGCACTGCACCACTGCCTCCTGCATTGCCAGGTGTTCAGCCAGTGCCCGAACGGTTTGCAGCTCGTACAGCTTGGAGAGAGGTATCGTGAGACCTGCATGTGGGGTCTTAGGTCTTTTGTGGGTCCCGGCCAGGCATGAAACCAACATGAAATCGACAAATGCCTGCATCGCGCAGCTTTTGCGAGAGCAGCACTGCCTTCAATGAGGTCATTCCCACCTCTGTGCAGTCCACGAAGCTGCCGGTGATTTCTCACTTGGAGTCTTAGCCCATCTCAGCCCCTGGCACTGCGCAAGTCAGCTGTGACCCTGAAATGAAATGATTCACGTGTTCTCTCTAGGACTGTCACTTGGCACGGTGCCCCAACGTCTCCAATCCAAGCACCGTTGCGGCCGTGGCCTTGCTTGGAAAATCTCACCTGGGCCTGCGGACCTGAGCAGCACCTGCTACCTGCTGCCTGCCGCCTGCTCGGCCTGCGGCGCAAAGGCGATGCTCCAGAGGCGACTGCGGCCCCACAATCGGGCCCTCCATGTTTGCCTGTAAATAAAGCGTGGGCTCAGAGGGCTCAGCGTCGTTGGGACTTTTGTTCTGACAGGGCATGAGCGCGCATCGGTTTCGGACCTCTCTGTCTGTGAAGGCATCCCAGTCTTCAAGCCCACCCGATCGTCCACAGTTTCATAATTCTTGTCGCCCTAAGGCACCACCGGCGATGCAAATCGAGAGTGCATGAACCGGTATGCCCATTCTGATGTTTGGGGCATTCTGCATTCTTGCTTCATTTCAAAGGACCGTACGCAGACACAGAAGGATTCGCACACTCCGTTGTCCATTCTCGCTCGTAGGCTCAGTCCTGAGTCATTCTAGACTTGGTAGCCCTTTGGCCAAGGGCGAAAATTATTTATGGATGGGGCCGTTGGCATGCGACAAGGATCATTCATGTCAATCGCACCTTTTCGGATCTGCTTGCGACTTTGAATGGCGACTTGCGACTACGACTGGCGACTACAACTGACTGGTTGGCAGTGGAATGTGATAAATGTTCGACGAGCTATGCAATATTTCTGCTTGGTGCATTAACACTTCAAAGTGCCACAGCCAAAAAAGACTGCGACTGCAGCGGCCGGTTGTCAGGGTGGCAGAGGACCAGCCTGCCGGTCGGGATCATAGATTCTCATAGATGGTGTTTTGCGACTCAAGGCACTCAACTTTAATCTGGCCTCTTCGTGGGACACGACGTGCGACTCCCTGTAGGAACCACTCGCAGCCTGACAGTTCAACAAACGAGCAATGGACACTGGTTCCAACAATAGGGTCCCTGCCTGCAACGGGTGGCCTTCGAAGTCAAGACGACCCGACCTCGATCCACAACTGCAGGCAATCAACTCAGTGCAATGGCAAGCTTCGGAACAGCAGTGGCAGTGTTTTACGACTGTATGAACGTAACGACTGGCTTCTGGGTGTTGCTTTGCAACAGTCGACTTTAGGATGGACAGTACCCACGGTTCACGACTGCAACTAAGAAACGGTCGTCTAAGTTTACTACGACTATTGTTGACTATTTCTTGGACTTGCTGCACATACCAGCCAGTGGGGCCGACTACTGCAGTTGCCTCTGACCCCAACAACCGCAATCATGAGCTCGACTGTTGGAGCTCACTCGTTCCCCAAAAAACTACAAGATACGCCCTCTGTACTCTGAGCGATGACGACTGCAGCAGCCACAAAGCGAACGAGGTCGCTGCTGTCGTTGAGAGTCAGCGACTTCGAGCTCCAACTGAAAGGCCGGCGCGAAGGCGCCGAAGCGCCCTCGAGGATTGTCCACTTCGACTCGGGCAGACGAGCGATGTGCTTCAGCTGCTGCACGACGACTTTGTGTTTCTCGTCGAAACGACTGGTCAAAGAAATGACCCTATCTTGGCCGGTGCGACTGCTCGGCAGATACGTCTTGGCACCCAACCCACGAGTCATGTCTGTCTTCTGCACCACTGTTGCACCCAAAGCGACGACTGGGAGCTCCAAGAGTCCGAGCGACTTTCGGGTAAACTCCAGGTGCTTGTCGACTATGATGCACGTTGGGGTGCCCAGTGCAAGCATCTTCACCAAAGCCATTGCCGTGAGGGATGCACAACTCTGGATGAAGCAGCTGCTGCTGGCGACTCTCTGCGCTGGCAGGGCCTCGTCGCAGGCGTTGAGAATGCGACTGAACTTGGTGCGCCTGAACTCTCTGGCCTGCTCGACTTGCGACTGTGTCGTCGGCGCTGGTGCGATCGACCGTCCCGGTCGTTCAGCAGGCTTGTCGTAGGCCTGCTTGCCGACTGAATGCAAGTGCTTCTGCTTCTGGCTTTGGCCGACTTTTCTTTTTGTGTTTTTGTCGAAATCGCGAAGCGCCTTGCTCCATGCCGACTCGTCGTCCATGTCCTGCATCGCAGCACGGAGGTCGCCTACGGAGCCTCCGAATATGGAGGGCGCTTGCCCTCCACGCTCCTTGGCACGTTCTAGCAGCTCTTGAGCTGCTCTGTCTCGACTGCGTTTCAAGGCCACCTTCGTGTTCGACTTCTTGACCCTTTCGACTCCGGCGTCTTTGCGACTCTTGTACAGGCAAAACCGCCTGCCGTGAGTCTCAACCCAAGCTTCTTGCCACTGGCGACTGAGAGCCGTCAGGCCACAGGAGATATCGCCGTCCTCGATCAAAAACAAAGAATCAAATGTGGGGTCTGGATGCCGGACAAATTATTGCCGCCAAGCATCGTGTAGGCTCTGCTGGACGACTGCCGACTCGTGCTCCGGGAGGTGGAAGCAAAGCAGCGCCAAGTTCTCTGGATTTTCCAGTGGACCTGAATGCGCCTCGACTATTTCTCTGATCTTAGAGAAGTCTCGCTCGACTGGCCCCGTTCCGTCGAGCACGGCCAAATACCATGCGGCGACTGCAAGGGCATGGTCGAAAAGCTGGCCCCCGCCGACTGCTTCTCGATACTGAGGCAAACAACTCCATGCATCCAGGTTGTTGAACATGCCGACTTTAACCGACTGGATCTCGGCTCTGTGCTTCTTGGCAAGGAAAAAGGCAGCATGCTCCAAGCGCTCAGCAACGAGACGACTGTCTTCAGCCAGGTTGGGCTGGACCAGATATGATTATTGGACTGACACAGTTGTTTTAGTATCTTGCTGCCTAAGTTCCATGCCGGTCGACTGCGACTTTTCGTAGGCGTTGCACACGCGGCGGGTACACATTCGCAGCGAGTTCGTCAAGTGCTCGGCCGACTCGGTCTGCGGGAGAGTCTTCAGCCACGTTGGCAGGTCGAAGCATCTAAAGGCCAGAAGCCTTGGTCATGTATGTCCCAACCAAATTTTGTTTCGGGATCAGCTCTAAGAGGTTGAGGCATCGTCTTTATTAAAGGCATCGGCCAGTACTTTTCTGGATGAAACTTATGACGAGAATGTCGACGACTGTTTAAGGACCGACTCAACATTTCGACTTCAAGGCACAACGTCACGCTCTTCAAAGGATCCAGGTAACCTACAACCGTAGACCAAATTATGGAACAGAGCGATGACGACTCACTGAGCTGCGGGCAACGACTGCGGGTCGAACTCGGCCCTTAAGCGCTTGTCGGCCAACTTCCAGCACAGCGACATCTCCTCCATGACGCTAACCGCCTCTTCCTTCGCCTTCGCATGCCAGAAGACCTTCTCGCGCATCCCCGGAGCCACTCCATATCGAAGGGCAGGCATATTCATCATTGTCTGTCGCGACTTGCACCATCGTCCTGGAACCACTCTCGGCCTCGCCCAAGATGTGCGCCTCCCCGAAAAGCAGTCCTGGTTTTGAAACCGTAAATCCCGAACCCTCTAACAATTAAAAAACAGGAACCGACTAACTTGCAGCCCGGATACGACTCCTGTCGCGAAACTCCTCAATCTCGCTCCAGGTTTTCGCCGGGTCGTGAACCTGCTTGTCGAAGGTGCCGACTAAACGGCGAGTCTCGGAACCCCAGTCGGCAGTGAGCCCGGCGACTATGGCCATCCGAGGACCGATGGCCTCCAAGAGCTCCGCACATTTCTGCCTCATCTTGGCTGTCTGTCGACTGTCCGAAGCTTTGTAAGCAAGGAGGAGTGCGACTGCAGGCAACAAGGCCACAAAGAGCCGGTGAGGTTCGGCAGTCGACTCGTACCTTCCACAGCACACAGCTTAGAATTGTGGTTACATTGCTATTGAACCATTCCTATTCAGAGACACATTACAAGGTTATGAGCCGATTACTACTGCTACGGCTACGGCCACGACTGACTACTGCCAGTACGACTACTACTACTACTACTACTACTACTGCTACTACTACTCCTACTCCTACTACTACTACTACTACTACTACTACTACTACACAACCACAACTACTAGTACTACCAATAATTACTACTACTACGAGTATTGTTGGTATTACAAATACTACTTACTTACTACTACTACTACTACTACTACTACTACTACTACTACTACTACTACTACTACTACTACTACTACTACTACTACTACTACTACTACTACTACTACTACTACTACTACTACTACTACTGAGCTGTTGCATTGGAACGAGGCTTGAGCTAGTGCAGCACGGTACTACTACTACTACTACTACTACTACTACTACTACTACTACTACTACTACTACTACTACTACTACTACTACTTCTACTACTACTACTACTACTACTACTACTACTACTACTACTACTACTACTACTACTACTACTACTACTAGTACTACTACGACTACTACCTACTACGGATAAAAAATCTGGTACTACTGCGACTATCATACTAGGCTACTACTACGACTACTGCTACTGCTACAATACTATTACGAGACCAATGCCATGTACCAGTCCAGCTACCCCCACCCCATATGGCACCATGAATGCAAGCGGCCTCCCGTTCTTGGCAGCCACATCACCTGCAGATTCCCGCAGGCGCCTCCCAGCTCTCGCTCCGCAGCGGGCGCATTAGCGCTTGGCCCCGCTGTCATGTGCCGGCACTGGCACGTTGGCCTCAAAAAAAGTGCTGGGAGGAAATGTGCACCACCGCCCCACACCCGGCCAATGGTGTGGGAGGAACCGTCCTGGCGTGCCTGGTTCCCCCTCGGTAGGGCTGATCAACCACCACACCTCCGCGGCGATTTCACGCTCGTCGAGCGCCTCGTAGCGGTCGTCCCCCCTACCTGACTTAGCGAAGAGAGCTTGGAGACGGGACACCCTACCCGCAAAGGACCTAGCGTACACGTCGGACCCCTCGGGTTTCCAACGCCCTAGCAGATCCTTATCTTGCGGGGGGATCTCCTGTAGCGCCAAACCTGTTGGTAGCACCGAGCGCTCACTGTGCTCCGTCCAATAGCCCTGGACCTCCCGGGGGTAGCCCATGATAGCCAGCAGCCCCGCAGTTGCCACCATAGCGTCCGCATAGGTAGCCATCTTCTTCTCCAGCTGCCCCGCCCGGCCCAGCCGCGGCATGAGGTAGTCCCGGGCGTAGTTAGCGTGGGCCTTCAGGAGATCAAAGCCGGTCACTAGCCAGCTCTTAGCGACCAGAAAGGCGTGCTCTGACACCACGACCGGTAGCTCTTTGACCCTTCTCGTAGCACCGGAAGTCTTGGTCTTCCGGAGGATGGTGGTGAGTCGCCCTTCCACCATCAATAGCTCGGCTGGCAGGATAGCCTGAAGGTCCGACCATCTTAGCGTGGCCCAGACCTTGACCAACTTAGCCCAGGCCCAGATGCGCCAGCCCGCCGCCAGGGCGGGGTTGATGACCACGAGCTCTAGCTGCACCAGCATGTAGACGGGGTAGCGGGGCGCCCTCTTGATCAGGGGGGCTCCCTCCGCTAGCTGCTCCACTATGCTGTCCTTAGCGGCCCAGACCAGGCGACCAAAGGTGGTCCTTAGCTCCACCGGAAAGTCGGCCACCTTCTCCATCCAGGAGATAGCCTTAAGAATAGCTTCCGGAACCGAACGGCCGCAAGGCTCATCGCTCCTAGCGAGGAGGTAATCCACCAGGTCCGCGGCGGTGCCCGGAGGCGGCCTGAGCTTAGCGGCGTGGAGCCATTGGCGCCACCTGTAGTAGCTCAGGTAGCGCTTCAAAGTAGAAGCCCGTGTCTTCCTTGGAAGCAACATAGCTGCCCTCACGGGATCCAGACTCCCATGCAGCTTAGCGAGAACAGGGGCGTGTATCTCTAGCAGCTCCTCACGGAGCTTCCTTGCCCAAACCTCTAGCAGTCGCTCTTCCCTAGCTGCACTAATCGTGCTGGGCTGTAGCGTCTTTCGGTTCCGCTCCCCGGGGGGAGGTCTTAGCGGCACCGGAGGCTGGTGCATAGCGTCATCGACCTCTTCCCTTGGAGCCGGTAGCGGTGGCATCCGAGCCCTCCAGGTGATGTAGCTTCCTGCCGCGCTTCCTGCAGCCAACAGTAAACGCCATCCCATAGCCACGGCTGGTATGGAATACCTAGCTCTCGAGCTAGCTGCTTGGCGACGTCCTCCGCGTCGTCCAGGTCCACCACAGCTAGCTCCAAGACCCCAAACCCTTGGCTGGAGAGATGCCGGTAGGCCCTGTCTAGCGTGCGCCTACGTTCTTGTTGGACCGTAGCCTGCGCATCTAGCTCTGCCTCCACTTCCCAGCCCTCGAAGAGCACTCCCGTCTCTTCGGGCTGCGGGTCACTAGCTGGGGTCTGCGGGACCCACGAAGCTACCTCCGTGGAGGGAGCCCCCGCGGTATCGTCCCCCCCTAGCGCGGGGACCTCAGTGGGACACGAAGAACTTAGCGGGGGCGGGGAATCCCCAACCACAGTAGCGCAGTCGACGGCCGTAGCTGCTGCGCCATCTGGCGTGGTCGGCGCCAGGGTAGCGTCGCTGTCCGACATGGCGGCGCACCCAAAGCAGGGCTAATTAGCCCTGTTCCCCTTCCTACCCGCACTCGAAATTTGCCCCCCAATAGCTGGGGGCCTTTCAGCACAATGGCCACGGAGTAGCACTGCTTTCACCGGCCATGTGCAGACACTCTAGCAAACAGACAAGCTTCGTTCTGTTTAGCTTCAGAGGAAAACCCCTTCGACGTTTTCTAGCGAAACACCTTCGATGTTTCCCAAAGGGATACTGGCGCTAGCATACACTGTCGTACCTCGTCCCTCGGCACGAGTGCGTCTTCGCACCTGCGGATCTTGATCCCAAGGGTTTCCAGGGAGTGGCAGTCAGGAAGGGGCTTGAAACCCAAGCCCTGCCGCCCCGAGCAATCCAAGGCACGGCCCCCAAGGATGAGGCCATGCCAATCCGAGGTTCCTTTCGCGGCTATCTTACAGCGCACGAAAATCTCTGGACCCTCGCTGCAGTTGTCCGGGGAGAGTCCCTCAAGGAAACGGACTCTCAGCACGACGGCCCCTTTCAAGGGCACCGGCTTCCCTGCAGCGATCCCATGTGGACGAACTCCGGGTGGACCCAGCGTTCGAATTTCACGACAGGAAACCTCCGGTCCTCCGTGCCGATCCCCAAGGCAGCAGCTTTGTTGAGGATCCCACAGACAGAGGAGTTCCTCCGTGATGTGGTTCGAGCCTGCACACCCGTCCAGCATGCATTCCACCATGCCGTCCACAACCTGCACGACCGTTCTGTACTGGGAACCTCCGACCTCGTTCTCACAGAGGTGCCACCAGTCGTGAGGAAGCTCGTCTACCGAGCTAAACTTCGACGACGAGCTCTTGGCAAGCGGGAAAGCGGAGGAGTTCGCCGCAACAACCGTGCCAGCGCTCCCGATCTGGATGGAGAGCGTAGCAAAGGGATTCACCATCCCGGCGCCACTCGGGGCCGCCCAATTCGAAGGCAACGCGGCTCCGCTTGTGGCGGGAAGCGAATGGACCATGTCACAGTCCGCTCCCTTACGGCACGAGCCGTTCTTCTTGAAGAAGGGGCAGATAGTCCCTGGCGGCTTCGCGCTCGCCTTGGACTTCGCCTTGGGCTTGGCCTTAGCCTTGCTCTTGGGCTGGCCTCCGGCTCCACCCTTGCCCTTGCCCTTGAGTGGACGCGTCCCGCTCCTTCTTGGCCGCGAGGGCCCTCTTCCGGAGCTCCTTATCATGCGAATAAGGACACGCGTCCCCTTTCGGGCAGTTGCCATGGTCCCGGAAGTGGAAGCAGATAGGCTTGCCCTTTCCTCCTCCCTTCGGTCCCGCGGCAAGCGTGGAAGAGGCGGCCGCCTTGGCCGCGGCCTTAGAAGCCTTGAGCGCAGTCCTCAGCTTCTCGACCTCCTTCCGCGCTGCGGACAGGGCAGGGTCTTCC